GCCTCGCTGGCTCCTTCTACCTAATCGGGAACGCGAGGTATCCCGTTCCTGCTGCTGCTGCTGCTGCTGCTGCTGCTGCTGTTGCTGCTGCTGCTGCTGCTGCTCATCGCGAGGCATTCTGCTGCTGGCTGCATGTCGGTGCGATGCTGCGCCCCGAGACTGTCGGCGGCTCTGCGGTAGCTGATCTTCAGCTTCAGCACTTAGCGGGGAAGCAGCAGCAGCAGAAACAGCAGCAGAAGCAGCAGCAGCAGCTGCTGCTGCATGCTGCAGTCGGGTCCTTGGCTCTCTATGAGGAGACGCTGCAGGTTTGGAAGTGCTGCTGCTGCTGCTGCTGCTGCTACTGCTGCTGCTGCTGCTGCTGCTGTCGTTACTGCTGCTGGCGCTTTTGGTGATACAAGCGGGGGGGCTGCCGCTGGTGCTGCTGCTGTTGCTGCTGCTATTGCTGCTGCTGCTGTTGCTGCTGCTGTAGCGGATGCAGCGCCGCTTGCCGCTGCTTGTTGGAGAAGACGCTTCGCTCTTTGTGGGCAGAAATTTGTGGCCTGGCGACCTGCTGTGATCGCTGCTGCTGTTGCCGTTGCTGTTCTTGCGCGCGCTGCTGCTGCTGCTGCTGCTGCTGCTGCTACTGCTGCTGCTGCTGCTGCTGCTCCTTTCCCGTCCGCGGCTGCCCTCTCGTTTGGTTGGTGTTTTAATGTCTGTTGCTGCAGCATCTGCAGCAGCTGCAGCCTCTGGAGATGAGGCAGGGTTCAGGGCTTCACCCCGCTGCCGCCTCAGCATGACGCCGGTGCTGCTGCTGCTGTCGCTGCTGCTGTCGCTGCTGCTGTTTCTGCTGTTGCTGCTGCTCTTGCGGTCCCTGCCCCTGCGGCTGTCTCTTACTCTGCTGCTGTCTCCGTCTCTGCTGTCGCTGTTGCTGCTGCTGCTGCTAATGCTGCTGCTGCGGGGGAACCTGCGTCTGGCGGTTCGTCGGCGCAGGGAACGCAGAGCAGCAGCAGCAGCAGCAGCAGCAGCGGCAGCAGCAGCAGCAGGTCTTGGCGAGCTGGAGGTGTCTCCTGCTCCTCTTCCTTCGACTCCGCCTCGGAGGCTAGAGCCCCCAGCAGCTCTGCTGCTACGGCGTTGCAGCTGCTGTTGCAGTTGCTGCTGCTGCTGCCGCAGCAGCAAACGGGAGCGAGAAGGAGGCGGTACCCACACATCTTCGTCTCCGTGCATGCTGCTGTCACTGCTGCTGCTGCTCTCGCTGCTGCTGCTTCTTCGACTGCTGCAGCTGCTGCTGCTGCACATCATGCGGTGCCTCGCGATGCCGAAGGTTCCATTGCTGTTTCCGCTGTCGCTGCTATCACCACTATCATCGTTGCTGCTGCTGCTGCTGCTGCTGCTGCTGCTGTCGCCGCTGCTCCGGCTGCTGCTGTGGCTGCTGCGGCGCTGCCATATGCTCTCCGCCATCTCTTCTCCCTCTGCATCGCCAACAACTCCAGGGGCCCTCAGCCTCAAGAAAGGCTTCGCGGTGCGCAGGTCCTGCAGCAGCAGCAGCAGCAGCAGCAGCAGCAGCAGCAGCAGCAGCAGAGACAACACAACTAAGTTGCGGTTTGTGTATGCTTGTGGTGTATTGACTGGTTTGCCCCCCTCCCTCAACTCTATTTCTTTTTATTTTTATTTTTTTGTATTTTTGTTTATTGACAACAATGTCGTTGTCTTCTCCATCCACGCCGTTGTTGCTTTTTTTATACAGCAGGCGCTGCACCGCTGCCTGACCCTTTCAGACAACCCTAAACCCTAAACCCTAAACCCTGAATCCTAAACTCAAAGGTGAGAGCAGCTCCCAATGCAGCGAGGCCACAGCAGAGGGCACCACAGCGACGACCCGAATGCAACCGAAACGGCCACAGCAAGCACACGCGTATAGGGTTTAGGGTTTAGGGTTTAGCTGTTGAGGCTCACAAGAATACCCGCCCCATAGCTGCCTGCGTACGCCAGGTGATAGGGCTGCGGGATGTGGGGGTCTACGCTGGTGAAGTCGCCCGTATCGCGCATCACTGGGTGCGTTACTTGCGGCCTCTCTCTGCGCCAGCATAACATATATATATATATATATATATATATATATATATATATATATATATATATATATATATATATATNTATATATATATATATATATGTTATGTTTTTATAGACAAGTCATCGGGCTCGGAGAGAGACAAAGGCCTTCGACTGCTACACAGTCCCCGGTTTACGCACACCCCGTGAGCAGCAGCGGCAGTTGCATTAGCTGCAGCAGGAGCAGCAACAAGAGCTGCAGCAGCAGCAGCAGCAGCAGCAGCAGCAGGTGGTTGGGGAGCAGCAGCATCCGTCATAGGTTTTCACCTGAAGTCAGCGAGTGCAACAAACCCAGACTCGAGCGCAGCAGCAGCGATGTGGCCGGCGGTGTCGATGAACTTCGCCTCGAAGCAGGCGCGGGTCCTTGAGCGAGGAAAAAGAATAAGTCCTTCATCAGCAGCAACAAGAATATCCAGGCTGCTTCGCACTGCAGCAGGAGCAGCAGCAGCAGCAGCAGCAGCAGCAGCAGCTGCTGCTGCTGCTGCTGCTGCTGCTGGTCCGCCGCGCTCGCCACTTCCAGCCGCTGTCGTCGCGGCTGCTGTATCTGCTGATGCAGGAGCATCAGCATCAGCATCAGCATCAGCAGCATCAGCATCAGCATCAGAAGCATCAGCATCAGCAGCAGCAGCAGCAGCACCACCACCACCACCACCGCCACTAGCGCTGCTAGCAGCATCATCAGCTGTANAGCAGCAGCAGCAGCAGCACCACCACCACCACCACCGCCACTAGCGCTGCTAGCAGCATCATCAGCTGTATCGTTGCTCTCAGCAGCAGCAGCAGACAAGGCCCCGCTAGCATGCGGGTGCGTCAGAGGCAAAGGCAATGAACTCATACGCTCAACAAGCGGCACATGCAGCCTGCCGTATAGAGAATAAAAATCACGGCATTCAGATACACCTGCAGCAGGCGCCTCCAACGACATGCGCGTCACCAGGCCGTCGTTCGCTGCTGTCAGAGCTCGCGTACCCAGGGCTGCAGCAGCAGCAGCAGCAGCAGCAGCAGCAGCAGCAGCAGCAACACAAGCAGCAGCAGCAGCAATAACAACGGCAGCACAACAAGCAGCAACCGCAAAAACAAATACAACTGCAGCAGCAATAGCAGGGAGCTCATAAATAGATGCACAACGAAGCATGCATTTTCAGGTGTATCTACATGTGCGAGCAATCTACTAATCCACGTGCACGGCAATAGCCCCCTACAGAGTATACATATACATATACATATATACATATACATATACATATACATATACATATACATATACATATACATANATATATATATATATATATATATATATATATATATATATATATATATCAGTTGCTCACAATCGAAATCAATACAGAAGATATTGTCTGAGTGTTCTGTGCGGAATTCCGCTTTGGGTGTTCGCGGCCAAACGCGGGGCTCCCAAATGAGGAGCCGAAGATCATCGCCCCCGCTGAAGAGCCACTGCTCCGTGGGGTGGAACCTGAGGTGTACATACACCCGAATTATGCATGCATGCATGCATGCATGCATGCATGCATGCATGGATGCATGTATGTATGTATATGTATGAAGGGCAGTGAGGCTGGGAGGGCAGCAATGCAGTACCGCTTTATTTAGATGCAACACTAAACAAGAAAGACGGAGATGCGACACACAAAGCAAACAGAAACATATAAAGTCTGATGAACGCCCAAAAAAGAAAAACAATAAAACAACAAACACAGAAACAGAAGCAAAACGATATAAAAGAAATAGCATAAGGCAGATAAGCAACAACATATACTGTCTATACACCTCAGAACTCAGATCCACAATCCCGTCAAACACACGCAACAGAACAAATACAAACAACCAGCACAAACACTAAAACAAATGAAACAAGAAACAGCGCTCCCCACCTAGACGCGTCACGTATCTGCGTGTACACCTGAATTCATACTTCCCCTCTAGATATATATCATCAAAATTAATAAAATTAATTATTATTGTTATTGTTATTATTACTGCATGCGCTCAGCTCACTTGATTGCATTCACACAGCCCTCGTGGCCTCTGTATCTGTACGAGGTTCTGAAGAAGCCCGGCTTCCTCACGCCAATGCGTTGTGCGCGAGAGCGCCAAACGCTGTTGGCAGCACAGAGGCGACTGAATGTGGAGTTGCTGCTGCTGCTGCTGCTGCTGCAGTTGCTGCTGCTGCTGCTGCTGCTGCTCAGCCATCGCTTAGTTCCCAAGTCGAGACAGAGTTTGCCGCCGCCCCAGGGGCCCCTCTCCCGTTTCTGCAAATGTGATATTGCAGAAGTTAAAGCCAACCCGCTGTCTCTGTTGCTTTCTTTGTCCTCCCTCTCCCCCTGAAACAGGGTAGGTGTAATGCGCGGCTTCTTTTTGCTGTCAGAGGGGGGCCCCCAAGGGGCCCCCGCTGAGCCGCAAAGCTCACTAGAGCTCCAGGCAGTAGTGAGGGCCCCGTCCATCTCCTCTCACGTGTAAAGAGCAGCAGATGAGGAGACCAATGCAACCAGGGGGGCCCCTTACTGCCGCCAATCGCTGATACAGCAGACGAACCAATGGGAACTGCTCAAAGGCCTCCTCGCTGTGCTGGGGCCCCTGGGCCTGATGTGCATATGTATGCGAAATGTCTGCCTACAAGGGAAGACAGGGTGGGAAGAACTCGTGCGTTTTCATTTGACGCCGAGATTGAGTGGCCCGTGAGGCTGGCGGTCCCGCTGCAGGGAGTGAGAGAAGACGCATGATCAGCTTTGGGTGGAGAGGCCTCAAAAGAAATATTCTCTCTTTGTCTGTAAAGGAGTAAAAACCCAACGAAGAAGAACACAAGGCATACGAAGACCACCCCGCTCTCCTGCGCTGGTGGACATGGGAGGAAGCGGCGGAAAGCTGAAGTGTAACCGCGGCAAATGCAAGAGTTTCAAGAAAAAAACAGAAATATAGTCTCAAATGACCATTGCAACGCTCGGATGATGAGAGCTACGCAGAAAAAATACCTAAATGATGCATCAAGCCAGAAGAACATATACGGATCGCGCCCTGTCGAGTTTCACTATGCATGCATCCCCGGGGCCGTACGTGTGCGTATTGAAACAAGAAAGCTTTTTGACTTTTTATTGAATCTCTGAAATGCCAATACACTGGACTCCGCCTCTGTATATACAATAAGCCGAAAACATCCTAGAAGCTGCGGATACAAAGGGGGGCTCAGGACGAGAAATGCAGAAATGCTCTAGAAATACACTCAACTGTGCAGTCCAGCGCCTTTGTCTCATCTCCATTCAGTTACTCGCTACTTCTTTGAATAGCCTGAAACAGAGGCATTGTAACCCCGGCAGTGTGTAGAGTACAAATACGCCTCAGTACAAAACAACACAGAGGCATCAAGCACTTGCTTTGCGTCTTGCAGGAGCCGTTACTCTGGGTGGCCTGGAGGAAAACTAATTTACGAGCTGTATAATAATAATAACAGTTAAATGCCGATGATACAGCGCAAGAAAACGCAGGGGAAAGAGGCAGTTTGAGGGTTGCTGTAGTGCTTTACTGTTGGCCTATAGTGCAGAACGCTTGCGCGAGTTGCAAACACAAGTTGCAAGGATTCGAAAACGAGTTTCTCCGCATCTACATATTTAGCGAAGTCCACAGAGGTGACTCGTGCGAAGCTCTGCATCGAATTATAATTAATTTGCAGGAAGTTAATAAGTCCGGTTCGCGTACATAAACATATATGCGTATGTATGTATATGTAGTGACCTACATATACATAGAGGGATATATATATATATATATATATATATATNATATATATATATATATATATATATATATGCGTGTGTAGAAGTAAGACAAGCTTTAGACTCAATGGCCACAATAAAAATGGGCTGAAGGCAACCAAGAACTAAGAGGAGGTTATAAGCTCCCTCTTCACTTTCGCGCATCGTGTTTCTTCTTTTTCTTCTCCTCTCCCTCCATGGAAATCTCATTAACTAATTAATGAACACCGCAGAGCAACACCTCCAGCCTCACCAGACTGAAACGCAGAGTACCCTCTGATTTTGCGTCTTTCGGCGGCTTTGTCTGTATAAGGAAACGATGGCCTCACCCTGTCAGCATATAGTTTGCTTTGTTTGCACGAGTGCAAGCCAGAGACAGAAGCCAAGCTCGTCACGAACAACTGGTTATTGGAGAAGCAGTAAGAGTTCATTGGGTGAGACGAAAGAAGACAGAGAAGCACACAACATGCTGTAATACCGAGTATTCCAAAGAGCATGTGTAACAGTGGCAGCTTGCTGCTGCTGCATCTAATGTACTCCTGCTGCAGTTATGTCCTGCTGCTGCAGCGCAGTGGCACCGCTAAATGGAGTTTTAACGCACAACAGTCATGGGGCCATATGTATAAATATATATATATATATATATATATATATATATATATATATATATAATAGTAATAACAGGAATAATATTAGTGCCTAGGAACAGCAGCAGTGCACAGTGTGGAGGACTTCGAAGGGCGATGGACTGTTGTTCTCTACTGAACAGCTCCTCATGCCGTCAGTGGCTGCTCAAGGACTAACAAAGAAAGCAAACTAAAAGCAACCGCATATTTCTGTCGTCTTCAGCTTCCTGAAGAGCACTCCACCGCAGCTAACTCCAAGTGATTTGCAGAAGTAACTCAAACTCTATTGAAATGCAACAGGTTGCCTTCGTGCATGGAAGCCGTACCGGGTTATATATGGCAGTTAATCAGAAACACAAATGATGTAGTAAGGCTGCCTATCAGTAGCATGAACAATGTAATAGTACTGCTGTAGTACTGCTAGAACAAAAACGAAGGGGTGAGCTGCGCTGCTTGGAGGAGAATGGGGAAAGGGCTGATGCACGGTGGTGTCTGCGAAGCTGCTTTATTTTTTTATACCCATACGCAGAATCGCTACTGAAAGGTAAGTGTTTAACAGCTGTCTACAGCATTCGTGCATGCAGCACCTCGGGCTCACAGCGTCGTATAATGCCTCCATGAGGAGTTGCCTTGCAGCGGGAGCTGCAGCAAGGAATGTCCCTGCAGCTCATGGAAGAATCTGTCTTTGTTTGCTCTCCATATCATCACCAGCCCCAGGCCCTTGGGCTTTGCTGTGCCCAGGACGCCTGGGGGTTGGCGGGGAGGTCATCAGCTGATGTTTGGGTTTTCTTTCCTCACGTCTTTGGCTCTGTTACAGACCCCAGCTGTTCTCAACTCATATCGAGGACCCTCGCCTTGCTACTGCAAGTGCAAGCTGGCTACGTAGAGCAACGTAGTTGGTGTGGTGCGCTGATGAGTGGTGTTCTCTGCTGAGGCAAACTAACTCCGTAATGGGGGTTTATTGTACATTTGATGGTAAATTTGACAGGATGAATATTTGGTATTAGCCGACGGATGCAAGTTTCATGCAGACAGTCTGCAGATATTGTAAACCGGGCGAAATGCGAAATTCCTGAACGACGCCATCGTGTCCACAAATGCTCCGATCTCGCGACAAACTCGAGTTCTTCTTCGATTCTGAACGAAGTATTGATATAAAATTTAGGGTTTTTCTCCACTCTGGAGGAAATAAATGAACGAAATACTCAAAAATGTTCACTTTGATTAAACCGTCGATTTCGAACCAGGCTGCGAGCGGTGGCGGGCTGGAAGGGGCCCCTCCTCATCTTTCCCTCTGTAGCATCTCTCGAACGAGTAAATCCGTGAAGATATTCTTTAATTAAATAACGCGGTATAATTGATAATCGCCGCATGTAAAACTCCCAGGGGTGGTCGTCAGTGGTCTGCTGGCCCCTCGTTTCAACGCGTGTTTCGGGTACAAGGTGTTAGTTTTGCCCGTTGTGTATCTGCAAGCAGCGTGATATTCCCAGCTTAAATGACAGCCTAAGGCAGTTTTTCAACTTCTCAGATTCCCTCTGGCTGTCTAGGCAGCCGAGAGGAAAGAAGGAGGCTCTCGCGTCCACTATGTCCTTTCGTGATTGCATCGTCACTCGACAGCCCATATCATGCAAAAACGCAGCAACTGAGGCAGCTCCACAAGCACAGGCAGCTGCACTCCCTCTGAGTCCCGCAAGTTCCTGTCATGGAGAGGTCTTCCATAGCCCCCGCAGCGTTGTAGGAGCCAACGAAACAGCGGCAGAGGGCTCGGCCTCCGTTGCTGTTCCACCCGAGTCCGTGAACTCCTCTCGAGATAATGGAGAGGGAAGCACTACTTCTGAATTGCCAAGGGGCAGGGCAGGACCATCCCAGAACGCATGCTGTGACAACGGAGACCTTCTGCAAGCTGCGCCACACAGGCCGAGTTCGCACGCAGCTTCTGTTACTGCTTCTGCTGCTGCCTCTGTGCGCAGTGGAGGGATTGCAAGAGGAAGCAAGTTCAGCCACCGTATTATCAACGCATCCGCTCCCATTGCATTCACAAAGACATTCTGCTCGGCGGGGCAGTGGGGTGCATACACACGCAACCCGCAAGGCTACTTGAACGCTGAAGCCGTGCAAGCTGCTGCCGTTGCTGCAGCTGCAGCAGGAGACGGGAGTTTCGCCAATCCCAAGCACTCAACAGAGACGGAAACCTCCCAGCTGTATAAAGATACGTGGGGAAACGGGAGTGTCTGTGCAGCACAACAGGCACGCAGACCGAGCGAGACGCAGAGAGAAGGTTCGGCGCATTCACCTATTATGCCTCGCCGCATCTCCACACAAACAATGAGGAACACAGGAGAGGATAACAACGCGAGAAGGGGAGCAGCGGGAGGGGCACTGCAGGCCAATTCTTCTTCACCTGTTAGGCAGAGCACGCGGACTAGTGCTTCTACGCGGCCTATTCTAGGGTCTTGGCTTTTTGGGGGTTCGGGGTCTTCAACAGAACTCGAACGGCTGCTCAAGGAGGAGAATGATATAGCAGAAACAGCAGCAGCCAGAAGTGAATTGGCAGCCACGAGGTTGCTGCAAGAAGACATGGAGGCAATGATAGCCAACTTGCAACAAGTACGTTCGTCTATACAGCCCCACTAGCGGCCGCAAGAACACTCCTGTCACAGTGTACACTTTCCTTGACATTTATTATTATTATTTCTACTATTGCCATCTTACTGTCGTGATTAGCATCCCCATCACTCACTATAGTCACCATTACTACTACTGCCATTTGTATTTGAAACAACTGTTGCACGCGTGTGCTTGTGCAGGTGAAGACATTTCTTGTTTCGAAGCTGCGAGAGTGCGAGACGGCGCTGCTGACAACGGCGCAGGAGAGAGATGACTTGGAGGCCACTCTGCAGCAGATTCAAGGCGGAATTCAAGACAGCGTTGCAGAGCACAGACGACAGGCCGAGGAATGCAAAGAAAAACTTGCACACAAGGAGGTGACACCAGGTTTTCGGGTTCCGGGTTTCGGGCATAGGGTTTAAGGGTTACATTGCTACTCCTTCTTCAGTACTGCCTAGACAGCCTATGGTCTCGGCTGTTTGCTGCTGTTGCTGCTACAGAAAGAGGTGGAGGATCTGAGGGCGCAGCTGGAACAGGCAACTGCAGAGGCGGTGAATTTGAGGAAAGAAAATGAATTGCTCAAGGCGGAAGTTAACGTAGCGCGAGTTGAGGCAGCGGTGAGCTTGCATACAGCTAGCAGCACAGCATCGTAAACCTCAACCCCTACTTATGCCATAAGCTCCTAAGAGAACGCGCCCGTGAAGTACCAAGTAGCCGTCTCACTACCTCGCTAGCCGCCCGACAGCTCCATGCTGCTAACAGAGACTTGTCTAGAAAGCACTCGGGAGAACTTGCTTTGAGCTCGTGTGCTGTAGCTTCTTGTGAGGGTTCTTGTGTCGAAATATTCTGCTGCTGCTGCCGCTGGTTAAAGGACTTGCATTCAAGTTGTGTGGTACTGCTGCTTGTTGGGGTACTTGTGCGGTGTACTGGTACTGGTGCTACTTGTTGGGGTTCTGGCATTTAAATTTAGATGTTGCTGCTTTGGGGGGTCTGCAGGACGTGGCTGCTGCTGACGGCTTCCGCATCGAAGAGTACCGGCTGGCGCTGAAGACTCTGATGGAGCGAGACAAGGTACAAACAAAACAAACAAAACACCAATTGGCACCTTGTCACTTTCTCTCCATCGCTTCCGTGTCGCCCAAGGCAGCGTCGTCTGTTTGTTTCTGTGACATTCGTAGCCGTTTTGTTCTCTTTAGAGTTTGGGCAGTACCTGCAACCACCGGACTAGTTTTTATGGATATTCATCTGCATTTTTCCTTCTGTTCTTGCGTTCATTTCATGCGCGGGGTTAAGCTTTCCCTTCTGAATGTTGTTTGCTGCGTCTGCTTGCCTCTTCAGGCCCAACGGCGCGAGCTGAAACGGCTCCGAGGCCAGCTGATTAAAACGCGTGAGGATTTCGCAAGCGCTCTGGCACGCGTAGACGAGCTGGAGACTCTAGAGGAATTTAGAAAGTCGCAGATGAATTCAGACGAAACAGCAGCAGCTGCTGCCGCTCAACAGACATCCCCCTGGAGTGGTCGCAGCACCGGGGACCCCCAAAGGAGCCCCGAGGGGCCCGGAGGTCATTCCAGCAGCAGCGCGACGCCGCCCGATGAGTGTAGCGCCCCCGCTTCGAGGCAGAAGCACACAGATGTGCAGACAGACGGGGGGGAAGAGTGCAGTGTAAGCAGCCGTGATGCAGACAGTGCGAGGAGAAGATCAGAAGACGCAAGCGGAACCTCGTGCCAGCCCAGCTGTAAAGACAGGAACAGCGACAAGCCGAGCTCGCCGAGTGGACGGGTGTTGGGGAGGAGTGTGAAGGGTTTTCTGGCCTCGGGCGTAACGCAGCTGCTGCAGCGCATAGAGAATGTCATCTCAACGGACAGAGAACACCCTGAGCTGTCTACAGACCGTGAATCGCAGGCAAGTGCCGATACCCCTCCTGAAGTAGAACGGAGCCTGCATGAGGAGGCGGAGCTATTCCTGCAGCGCACCCTCCCCAACAGCGACCTGATAGTGCACCTTGAAGGCGGCCAGGATGGGGAGTCGGAGGAAGACGATACCGCCTTCAGCCAAGAAGGAGACGCAGGAACTCTAAAGAACGTGGCACGCAGCGTGTGGCAGGCAGCCCACGAGCTTCTTGCCGATCGAGCAATGCCCCCAGCCAGACTCTCCACTCTGCGAACAGTAGCGGCCGGTAACCCCTCAGCCTGGGAGGTGCTACGGGAGCGCCACCGGGCAGCAAAGTCGATGCCGCTTTTCAGCAGCATCCCGCCTGCTGCTTACCCCTTGATGACTCAGGCAAGCGAGAGCCCTCAAGGTTGGCGGTCAACAACAGGCGGAAAGATGGGGAGCGGGCCCTCCTCCTCCTCTCGGGCCGCAACAGTTTCACGGCGCAGGGGCCATGCAGGTGCTGCCAGTCCAGGCGCTCTAAACTTGCGTTCTTTGGGGAGAACCGAACGCGGGCGCAAATCGGCATCGCCACAGGCCTGCATGACAGTGGAGTTGCCGTCGGAGGTGCCGGTGTGTAGCTCAGAAGTTCATAGTGATGTCGCAGAAGATTTAGAAGGGAGCGGTGAGCCCCCAGCAGGAACTCAGCAGGAAACCCCTCCAGCAAGGGAGACGGACGCAGAGACCCCAACGGCGACCGAGCATGGAGCTGCTCCTGGTGCAGCACAAGAGAAGATGCAGCAGCCATCGACCCCGTCAGAAGCAGCAGACGAGCCAGAAGCAAACGGTGGCTGCCCCGAAACCCCAAAGCCGAAGGAATCCGATGATGCAGCGCAGCCAGAGGCTGCAGATGCTGCAGCAGAGGGCCCGCCGCTGAAGGATGATGGGGTTTGAGGAGAGGGGATGCTGCAACTGTTCTTCGAGGCAGATGACTCGGGGACTTGCATCATTATTGCACTAATTTTAAGCTGTCTACTTTATCTTATTGTTGTATGTCTGTACTTCGGTTCTGTCTGCCTAGGGCTTTGCACACGGCATCAGCAGCAGTTGTAGAGCATCCAGCCATTTGCAGCGTTCAGCTTGTTATATATTTCTGTTCCCTCATGTGCACCTTTTATCGATTGCACTATCATAATAGGTACGACCAGCCTGCAGTAAGATGCAGATAATTGAATTCAATATGCGCCGCGGGTCGTGCTCCCGACCTGCGAGGGCTCGAAGGCATTTAAAGAGCTACGTTGAGTTGGTCTCAAGGAAATGTTTTTATCTACATGGTGCACCGAGCGAGCGAAATGATGCGTCTACCTGCATCCGCTCTCAGCATACACAGAGGCCTGCGCCGCTTGGAGCACTCTTACAGCTACGCACGTTGTTGTCAGCAAACGCACTACTCAGTTATGTTTAACGCGCTCTATGTCCAGGGCATTCAAGAACAGCAGCTGCGAGTAAGCACTGTTCTATTGTTAAACGCCTCAACGCTTTCTGTTGATGCCAAGAGAGAAGTGCGTGTCGGCCTCACTTCACTGCAACGCATAACTTGCGGGCCAACTAATAAACACCAGTGCAAGGCAAAACACAACTAAATGACACCATAGGAAACTGTTCTTCACAACAACGCTCCCAGTCCCCCTTACGCCCTCCCGCCGCGCCCTCAAACCTCCTTAGCAGGCTAAGGCTACGGAATTCGATGGAGAGAAAAGCGGATCTGGGCCTGTCTACAGTCTTAGCTTTCTTTGTGAACAGATGCACCCATGTGCATATGCCGTGGCATATGCACTAGGGAATAACAGCTGTCAGGTTACTGCCTAGGGAAGCGTACATTCAGCAGCCCCAAATGCTGCAGTACTGCTGTCTACAGAACACGGAGCCCTTCAGCACGCTTGGTTCAAAGGGTTCTCCGGTGCCTTCTTCCACTGCAGCAACACATAAATAAAGCGGAATGTCCATAGAGCTGACACCCTCACAGAGCCAAACAGCAACCCCTGCACTGCATTCCCCCCTCCTGCTCCCCCAACTTGGTGCGTTTTACTCCGTTATGGGACATACCTGCTTCGATAGCAGCTCTAGCAATTGAGAGCGTTTGAGCGTTGGGTTTTCGGCCTTCAGTCGCGGCATCATTTGCTCCTCGTAAGCCCGGTAAGCCTGGCGCACCATCAACATACAGCTTGGCAGAGTTAATTAAGCAGAAATTAACGCCAACGTTAAGTGATTCAAATGATAATGCAACTTGGCACAGTGCCACAACCGCTGCGTATGTCTTGTCTATGTGTGTATCTGCATCTACGTATATATATGCTGTTGCTGCGTCTATCTATATATCTATCTATCTGTATGTGGTGTTCCGTCTTCTGCCTTCTTGTTCTCAAGCAGCCGCAAGCTCAAAAAGATGGAAATCATGGCTATACAGGAAACGTGAACTGACTGCTCTCATTCGCCTCTCCGGGTGCCTGTCTTCTCCAGGGCTATCCCCGATTCCCAGCTGGTTCAAAGCCTCATCCAAATTCGAAGCTGCACCACAAAAAGGCAGCGTAACACAAAGTGTATCATTGTTTGTATCCATTTGTTTGCTGTTGACGCCTCTTAAGCTCTCAACTATTAGGATTTAAGTTAAGACGGCGCCCTCCAAGCCAAAACACAACTGCAATAAAGGAGCCTATCTGATAAACGTGACACTCCGTATAAGTATAAAAAACACTAGGATATAGGTACAAATAAAGTATTACTATGTATGTACAAGTATACTATAACGTATGTAGTAATATTATATAGATACATACAGATATTATCACCCTGGAGCTACGCCCACAGATTCTGCTCAGGGCTCGTCCTTTCTGCCCGCAATTCGCTGCTAAAACCCTAAACCTCTAATCATAAGCCCCTAGCCTCTCAGCATAAACCCTTAACCTCTAGTCATAACCCCCTACCCTCTAATCCAAAACCCCTGATATCTAGTCATAAATGCTTAACCGGTAACCATGAACCGTTAATATGTAGTCGCACATAGAGTAAACTCTCACCTGAAACAATATCTTTGCCTTCGAGCTGCGCCTGCAAAGACTCTGCCCTCATTATGTGGTTGATGTTCGGTTCGAGCCGCGGCATAGAGCCCTCATCCTGTGCCAAAGCACCACAGAAAAACGGTTCGTGGTTTAGGGTTTACGGTTTACAGTCCAGGGTCCTCTTGTGGCGCTCATCCATACACCTTAAACCTACCGACGGCGATGATGCCTCTTTTTCCATCGCTGCAGCTCTCAACTGCCGCTGTAAGATCTCCGCTCGCGTGAGCTTCGCAGGCGATTGGCTCTGCAGCAGTTGCATCCACAGCAACAGCAACGGCAACAAAATAAACAAATATGCACGCAGATCGTTCATTTAGTTCGTGCACCATCCAGTCGTGTACCAAGTCTGTGGCACTCAGCAGTACCTTCTTCGTTGAATTGCCCGCCAGAGTCTTCATCTCCTCCTCAGCTAATTTCCGGAGCTCCAACTTTCGCTGCATGCGCTCCTCGGCTTTTGCTTGACTCTCTGCCTGGGACAAAATACAAAGAGCACATCTACTTCTGCAGCAACGTGTGCCTAGGGAATTCCTCCAGAACTCGAATTTGGAGAACCATTTGACGATGAAATGCATGCTACATGCATTTGATTCCATGTCCACACAAAAAGCAAGAGTGGTGTTCCAAGACAGACAAATTAATTAGTATTGCACGCTAGGAAACGAAGAGAAAGTGAACATTCTAGCACACGAGGGGAAAGGGGTATCAACATATTCGCTGCGCGCAGTCGGCTGCCCAATGAAACAGGCCTCCCAATGCACGCACTTTCCTGTCTAATTTGCGAGATACCAGTTTATCATTGTCTTCCCATCGTTTTCTCTCAGCTTCCTGTTCTGCTGCTGCCGCCTTAGCTGCCGCTGCTGCAGCCTTTCGCTCCCGCGCTTCGACAGCGCGTTGGTTGACGCGAACTGGCATTGCGTCTGTTACGAAGGTTCAGGGATGGGGAAACCCAACACAACTGCACCAGCAGGTGTCGCGTGACTGGGAGGCAACCTCTGAAACGCCCAGTAGCTGCAACGCCAGCTGACTGACTATCCTGTGGCACCGAACATGCTACAGCTTCTGCTGTAACAGGTGGAAGAGGCGGAGGGGAGCTCACTGCAACGATCACGCGAAGTTCGCATGCATGGATGCACGACTCCTTGAACGAAGAGACCCACACGAATGACCAAGTTATCGCAATGGACCGTAGGGATACAGGAATGGCTACAACATGTAGAAGGTACACCCCTTACGTTTAGGGCGGAGGAAAGAAATCAGGTGGCACTATTCTAGAGCCCTCTCAGCGCTTGTAGCATTCATATGCAAGGGCTGTGCTGGGGGAAGCAGATACTAAGCGGCGAGACCACGGAGCAACGCTGGGCCACTGCAGACGACGAAACTTCTAAATGGCATCAAAGGCACCATGATCCCCCACTACAACAGTGTTCCTCAGACGTTTGGATTGTGGACCTGCTTCAGGTGGGCTTGCAAGCAACTAAAAAAAAGCGGGAAGTTCAACCTGCAACGGGCCGAAACATCCAGTTCCAACCGACAGGGAAGAGCGGATCCCCAAATTAAGAGGAAGCGCGAAAGGCGAACGCCCAAACTGTCCCAAACAATGAATGAAGTGCAGGAATGATCTTCAGTGTTGCTTGGTTTCGCCACTAACGAACAGTTCCGTCGTCTGTTGTAATCGCCCGCCGTATTTGGGGCTGGCAGCCGCCAGACCTGGTCGCATCCCAGTGAGTTAATTAATATCCATAGGGCCACAATATACGTTTTTAATATCTTATTCAAATGCACGTGAGCACGTTAGAACGCTTCGGTTTCCTCACCACGCCAAACAGTTAACAAACTAGTAAAACTATGACCGTAGCCTGTGCTGTTTGTGTAACATAGTGTTTGTGTAACATAGTCTGCCCAAAGTTGGCCCAGGAACTGTCACTTGGCCTTGTTAGGCTCTCTGCAAGCAAGCATAACTGCCCAACACGTGTCTAGAGAGACGATGCAGGCAGCGAAGAAGGCATGGTTGCGCATGCGGGTGAGGCTGTCTTGCATCATTAGTTGCAGCGAGGTGGGTTGCAACTCATCTTAGGTTGCCTCCTCTCCCGCATCCACAGGGGATGAGCTACTGCACCCAGGACTCCAGGAGACACGGCGTGGAGGTTAGTTGCCCTGCGGAAACTCTCACCTCCACCCTTTTGGCTTCATCGCTCCTCGCGACGGTCCTTGAATAAGGTTGAGGACTTTCGTTGCCATCTGGATTCATACGTTTGATTCCTCTACTCAGGGAACTAAAAGATAAGGATACTCCAAGCTGTCTTCTTTCATTTTGCAACCGCTGTACCAGGCTCCTTTTTGCACAGTGTAGCACTCTCCGGTATGCAGCATGTTTTGTCCGATGGTACCTGTACTTCTGCTTGTATAGAAGGCATCCCCTCCCAGTCTCCAAGTTTCCTGGGCGCAGCCGCGCAAGGGCTTGGGGGCTGAGCTGATTATGACGCAGAAAGGAAACGAAGGCAGCCGTTGCAGCACACCTCGGTGCAACTCCTGCTGCACATCAACCCCGCATGCAAGCATAAGACCCAACAATTTCCCTTTTATGCATGGACCAACGCTGTACGCAGCACTTAAACACTTACTCAGCCCTTAGTAGCCAGCTTGCTTCCAAGCGGGAGCACGTGTAGTATCAACTTCACGAGGAACAACTCCTGTAGGTGGCTTCTCTCATTCGTTGCTAAGGCGCTACCCATGCCGATCACGACGCATCATCGTTGGCTGTTTTTGATCAGCACAATGCGGCCATCAAGTGTTACCAGAGCAACTACGGTTCGACGCTTGTCTCAGAACTTAGCTATACAGAACTGAGATCTGACGACGGTCCCGGCGACCATATAAGAATTTGTCAAGACAGTCTCTTGTCCATGACGCTTGTGTTTCTGTATCTGACTAGACGATACAGTCAACTCCTCATACTTCGGGAGTTTAGCACGCCTCTTGAGCTTGGGCCGGGCTCCCGTTTTAAAGCCACTTTCGAGAGTATGTTTCTGGCGTCACAAGGCAACTTGAACGCAACTTCTACTTTACTTGTCATAATCCACTCCTACTTGTGACTCATCCTGACTTTTAAAGGCCCCTTTGTGACGTTATGGCTCGCATTAAAGTTCAGCTCCTGCTCTCGAAGTGATATTTGCAGCTTTAGCAGACTGCTTTTAGTATGACAAAATGCCCCATCCACATGCTCCGAATGTATTTTCTTAGAGAAAGGAATGTTTCTGCTTTGCTGCGTGGCCGCCTTGAGATATGCTCAAACAGTATTAGCGAGGCTTGGTAAGATGCTGAGAGCCATTCACCCACAACTGAGGTTCATGTTCCCTGCTATGGAGACAGGAGTTCGCAAGTCACGTAATAGCACGGACGGCAAGCCCACTTCGTTGTCTACTCGACGAAAACTTTGCTGCTGTAAACGCTTCACTTGCTTGCAGGTTAGGGAGATGTTGCACCAGGATGACTCAGCAGCGAGTCTGCGAGTCGTCAAAAGCAAACTATCATCGAGAATTGGCAGGTAGGATAACAAGGGAAGGCACCAGACCTCACCTAATGCATGTATGCCTACGCAGTAGAATGGTGGGTTCGGTGAGCGAATGCTCTTGCTAAAAGGGGCGCTACTCCAAGTAAGCTCGTTTTTTCTGTAAAACCCATGTTACCAGCCTCTCAAAACCATCCAGTAGCAAAGGAAGGTGCATTTGAGTAGATAGTCTGGCGCGCCTTTTCAGTTACTATCCGCTCGACAAAGGCCTGCAACCCGTTAATGCAGCCAAAATTTGGACTCACCTCTATTGGACCTCGGCCAAGTCTGGCTAAGAGATCCTCTCATGAGCTGGTGTTCTGCTGTTCTTTATTCTAAAATCGTAGAAGCGGACTTGGGAAGTGGCTCCTCACTTTTAATGCCAAACACAAGGCAGAACGTTCGAGCTGACGAATGCGTCTTCAGGGTTGTACAGATCAAGCATCACTGAAGACGCTGAGGCATACTTTTTCGGCGCAGCTGTTCTTCTTGAGGCTCTAGAGCTGCGTCAGGAATTAAAACTGTTACATTTTACACGAGTGGTGAATTCGGCACTACCCAAGCTTTGCGACGCATTCAGCTGCACCATCCTGCTCCATCGAAATAGTATCAATCGAAACAATGTCGATATATAGTAGAACGGTGTTTATTCGTCTGCTTTCCTGTACCGCAGGTGCCTTGGGCTAGTCCATGCACTTTCGGTTCTCTCCGTGCGTGACGTTTGCAATTTGCAAGTGGTTCGAGAGCATTTTTCGCGTTAGCATGCAGTGGCCATCAGTACAGTGAAACCAGTGTGTTTGCTGCTACGACTGTCTCCTACTCTATAGCTGCCATTGTGCCTCATCGAATGCTCTGTTAGTTCATTAAAAGCAGCAAGAAGACTGCGTTCACTAGCGTTTGATGTCTCCATGCAGGGCCTTTGACATTCTTCGTCTTGGGGCCATCTGCATCCCTCGCAGTGTGTACTAACGGAAGAGGATGATTCCTGTTTTCTATCGGTACTGTGCTCTATAGCTGTCATTCTGAATCAACTTCGTTAGTCCTATTTTTTCCACTGCATGAACTCAAGAGGAGCAATTCGCTCCAAAAAGACGGGGAGAACAAAACAGAACGAGCTTAGGGCGCGTACCTAGTACCAGTCAATTCAGTAGGCAGGATGGTCCATTCAGTATCATATCATGTTGCGTTGGGGATCGTTATACGCAAGTCAGTCAGTCCAGCAATGCAAATTACAGCGTGAACTCACGCCGATTCAAGCGGAGTGGCGCCTTACAAATGTGGCAATGTACGCGCGCTGCGGAGCCGAATGTCCGAATAAATGCCGCTGAGCCACTGAATAGATGCTGTTGCATCGGCGCGCGATTCTAGGATTTTCTTAGGATCTTCAACATGCAGCGGCTGTTCCCATTTGGAGTGAGCTGCTGTGCGCAATCGCAGCAACGCTAGCGTTCATCAATGCATAAAAGTTGTTTAGTAACAAAGCTAACTTGACGCATGCGAATTGACACGATAGTGTGTTGAACAACTACGAAACCGCTCATAACCACCGGAGCAGCGAGCAGTTCTTTCCGACGAGCAATCAACGCATCTAAAGCTGGATGCGGTGGGCAGTAATGCCTCAGAAGAAACATTCGAAGAAAAAAAGTGTAGCATGAATTCTTGCACGGACGAATGCATGCTACCCACAAGAGCACAGCCGCTATTGGCAGATGACGCCTGCCGTTGGTATATGATTTAAGGCCGAAGAAGCTAGAGACTTGCAACTATTCGGCTTGAGCTGGGCTGAGACATGCACTGACCAGCTCAGCCGGGAAATGTTTTGCTCACCTGGCAGCGGGTAGACTGTAAAGTTACTGATTTCTCTTTCTCAAATGCAGGACAGGGGGATCAAGAAGCTAGCTCCGCTTTAGTCAACTTTCATACTCCCCTCAGCCGGCTTAGGGAAACATCAAGCGGTCGAAGTTCGCCCGCTCGGCTTGCATTGATTGCCAACCATTAGTCTGCGACACTCACGCGGTTTTGGCTTTCGTGGTTTGGGATTTGTTGGTAGGGAACCAGGGTTCAGGGTGGCAGAGCAGGGGCAGGGATGTGCCGCTCGTATGGGTTCCGGGCCAAAAGGTATCTTATTAGGCGTTAAATGAAGCTGGATTATCTCAGTTCTCTCTCGTAGCGCTGGTAAAGAATACTACGTCTGGTTCTGGGGCTACTGCTATCTTTTTGACAAGGAGACAATAGTTGGCGCTGTCTCCAGACACTGTCGTACTATGGAAAAATATCAGTTACCCATCCTGCAATTTCCTGCTATCCCGCTACAGACTGCTTAAGCAACACTCACTGAGTTTGTATTTTCGCTTGCGCTGGTCTC